TTTCAATATTGAACGCCGCTTTGAGGTGGAAATATTGAGGATACTTAGTATGCTCTTGATATAGTCGTACTCATTTAGTATCTGATCAAAACGTAAAAGACTTCGGGGGATATTGGAAGCTCATTCTATTTTCATCAGGAAGAGCATTCAATTCTGCATCGATCCATATAAGAACCATTATTTTGAACGCACTATAATAGGGCTATAGAAGGATGAGGAGTGTATTGAGTAAGACTGCATTACATGCTATCTAACATTAATTAGGTCTCTTTCAAAGATTTGCCCATGTGAGTCGCTCTGGTTTATATACCGCTCGATAGAGGGAAGAAAGAGCTACAAACTGATATATAATACATGTGGTTTCTGACCTGGTCCTTATAGTTATACAGTCTGCAATAGTCGCAACCGGCAAAAACAGCATTTTTTGTCTAGTTTCGCTTAGTTTTTTATAAGACCAATCCGTATTTTTGGTCAGAAAGAATGATATATTTGAAATCAGCACTAAAAACTGAGTCGATCCATATGTTTTTCAAAGACGTCCGACGACTTTCATTTTTTCTTTAATATTTTGCCCTAGACCCCCTCAGGGATGTGGCTAAAAATGAAATTCATCAAAACATCACTTTCACTGTGAAAGACAAACTCTCAATATTCAAAACGCAAAATACATTCAATATAACAACTAATCAATTAGTAAAATCGCATTTCTAAGTAGTTTCATTTTTGGCTACATCCCTGAGGGGGACTAAGGCAAAATTTTAGAGAAAAAATGAAAGTCGTCGGACGTCTTTGAAAAACATATAGATCGACTCAGTTTTTAGTGCTGATTTCAAATATATCGTTCTTTCTGACCAAAATGCAGATTGGTCTTATAAAAAACTAAGCGAAACTAGACAAAAAATGCTGTTTTTGCCGGTTGTGACTATTGCAGACTGTATAACTCTAAGGACCAGGCCAGAAACCACATGTATTATATATCAGTTTGTAGCTCTTTCTTCCCTCTATCGAACGGTATATAAACCAGAGCGGCTCACATAGACAAATCTTTGAAAGAGACCTAATTAATGTTAGATAGCATGTAATGCAGTCTTACTCAATACACTCCTCATCCTTCTATAGTCCTATTATAGTGCGTTCCAAATAATGGTTCTTATATGGATCGATGCAGAATTGAATGCTCTTCCTGATGAAAATAGAATGAGCTTCCAATATCCCCGAAGTCTTTTACGTTTTGATCAGATACTAAATGAGTACGACTATATCAAGAGCATATTAAGTACCCTCAATATTTCCACCTCAAAACGGCGTTCAATATTGAAAGTTTTGCTTGGATTTAGTATAAAAAAGCTCATCTCACTTTTCTAGAAAGAATTGTCAATAAATTGCCTATGAACTCTAAACCGCCCATTTTTCATTGCTTATACGCCCCCGTCCTTTTGTGGGGGACGCATTGGAAGCGATCCTCTTCCATTCTGAAATATTTTTCGATTTTTCTCCATAGAAAACGTCCAAAAATGAGCCGATACGACCTTTAATAGGCTTCGAAACACGTTTTGTGACCATGATCACATCCTATGTCCCAAAATCCTGGATGTGCCACTGGTTGTCATATACTTATTTAAGAAGATAAATCTTAAAATAAAATGAATCAATGATCAATAATTGCAATGATTGGTCCTTTAGAAATATGATTCAGTCTGATGATATATGAACACAATAGATACGAATATATAGATTAATAAAATATAACTTTACTGAAATTCAATATGTACCATAAAACCTGCCATAGTGGACAGCTCCATATAGTGCACATTTCTCAAGATCTGATGTATCATTTTGTTTTTGTTTTGTTGGAAATAAACCTCTCTATAGTGGACACCATCATGTAGTTCTATAGCGGATACTTTTGAGAAGTCGCAATGGTGTGCACAAAAGAGAAATTTTACTATATTTTAACAATTATTTATTTTCCAAGAAGAAAAATGCATGAAACGAGAAGTAACTAATTATTTTCTTTATTAATACCCTTCAGATATCGAGAAAATGCATCTGTTTCTTGTAAAAAAAATCTTTACTTTTAGAAAAGATCTAATCGTCTTATAGTGGACACTTATGAAAAGTCCGAAGGGTGTCTACTATATAAGGGTTATACTATATTTATATTCATACTGAAATAGATAGTACATAAAGAATGTATAATTTAAGAATACGAATAATTTTGCATGAAGCTATTGTCTAGAAGATTTTATTTTATGATTAATAGTAGACATCAATATTTCTCGGCAAGCTATAAAAATATTCAATCATTTTCTCACATAAATATGTCACTAACTGTAAAATATTTATTATTATCTTTAATAATTGATTAAGTTTACAAGAAATATTTCGTATGAGATAAATAAAAAACATGAGTCTTCTCGAACTGTGAATCGTTAGATCATCTTTATATTTTCAGTTATTGTCCTATTCAAGATCTATTTTTTCAATAGTGTTTTTCAATGTTTCGTATAGTTATTATTCATCACGATGTCCAATTATTTTTGTATTTATACGATATATTCTTCGACATTATTGGATCGTATATTAATCAAGGAGAACATAGCAGACTTGAAGACTTTAAATGAATTCATACGATTTCATCGACTTCATGGAGCTTCATGAGAATTCGAACAATTTCTAAGACTTTGAGAAATTTTAAGCATTACTTCATATTTCATGCGACTTCAAAATTTCATGAACATCCAAACACCACATGAAAAACAAATCTAAATTCATACATAACCAAATGGCTTGGTGATAACTGACAAACAAAGTTTGATCAACTGTCGCTACATTTTATTGTAGGACAGTGACGATCTGAAGCAGCAACATTAGGGAAGAGGAGAGAGCGAGTGTCATGATTTTTTGAAAAAAGGGAAAATATCTTTCTTCTAACAGAATGCAAAAGAGAATTTCAGCTCTGCTAGGAAAAAATAAACATTTCCAAGATCGGAGGGGGCGGACAGCTGTTACACCCCCTGATGGGATCATCACTGCTTTAGGAATAAACAGTGTCAATAAAAAAAACATGCAATTACTAACTAAGACTTTTTTTTTGAGTTCAGACAGACTTGGACTTTTTTCCCAACATAGTAGTAACACTAAAAATTCATATTTTTGCTAAGGTAAAATTATCAAAAATAAGACAGGCTCATTAGTAAATACTGTAGAGACTATCTATCTGCAGAACTATCAGATATTTTTCTGTTACACGTCTTCTTTGACACGTTTTGTTTTCTTAACATATGTGAAACAGTATGTGATTTATTCAATTCTTTTTGGTAATTTAGTGTGAATTGATCGTATTTCATAAGTTTCAGAAGTTATCAGCACCAAAGTCTCTGTTATATATCTACTCATGTCAATAAATAAAATGACGTCAATATTTTTGACTGCTTAAGAATAATAAATTATGAAAAATATTAAGAAAGATTATGTTTTAAAGACCTTGATATGTCAACTTCAATCAAACTGTTTCTATATGTAAATGATGCACTCTTCAATAATTATCCTGCATGATAATATTAGAAATATTCACATCCAATTTTTGTAAATTAAAGAAAAGAAGAACAACTCGTGTCAGTTCTTTTATCTAATCGGTTCGTATTCAAGATCACAAATCATATACATGTATTTATCTTGAGTGAAAGGATATTAACATTAATATTAATAGCCCATATATCATTTTAAATATGTGTTATGTCTAACACTTGTACAAGACATTTTATAGTAGATATTTATAAAGATCCTAATTAAAAATTTTCCTTTTTAAATAGAATTTAATGATTTCAATTACAGTTCACGTGAAATGTATTTTGACAAATAAAAATGCAATGATTTTTTTCTAGCTGGTAAATTCAGTCAGTTGTCCAGTAATGATGTCATTTATCAATAAGGATCATTTGTCTTTAGATGTAAAATATATATCATGAAATAGGAAAATATATGATCATAATTTTTCATTCCAAAGCTTGCAATCTATTCTTTTTACAAATTTAAGTCATTAAATTCGATGAAAAAAATTATTTCAACTATTTTCTACATGTGCATAAATGTCACGTTTTTATTCAACAAAAAAATAGAAATTACTAAATAAAGAACAAAAACAATTTAACTAAGAAAAAGACCCTTGAATTTTCAATTCCGGAAAAATCACGTTATGCTTTTTATAAATATTTAATATCAGTAAGGCATTTTCTTTTATAATTTATTTATAGTTTCTATTTTAGTTGGCAATACATATAAAATGGTACTTCATCGAATGACAAAAATAAATTAACATAAAAGTATGCAATATATATATATATAGAAAATAATATTTACTAAGTTAGTCAATGATTCACGAGTGAATCATTTTTATATTATGTAACTTAAGATTTGCTAAATTATAAAAACTAAGTTTGATTTCTGTTGTGTTTAGCTTTTGAAATTAATAACTTTAATCATTCTTAATTACAAATTTAATTCTTCAGACTTTTTCCATTGATTAATATCAGATTGTATAAGTCATTTCTATGTATATTAATTATAATTATTTTTACTTTTCTATAAAAATAGTTAATTATTATTAGTAAATTATGATCATTTTTTGTGAAATAATAATATTTGAAATCATTAATTTATTTTCGTTATAAATGAAAAAAGAACACCGAATAGATTGTAAAATTTGCTTATTATAGCAACAAGAATAAATCTTGACTCATATGGGGGTGAGGACGATGATGCAAGCTGGTGTTAGTATGGTACGTTCTGACAATGCGTGTCAAGGACAGTTCTAAAAGAGATTATTACATAAATGATGCAAACGTATTTTCTTCACAGAGAAGAGAAATAATATTTGTATATTGTTTATTTATATAAATGTGTATGTGAGGGCGAATCTTCAACATATCGATTATTGGTGAGGAATTACTTTTCGGTTCTTATTGTATCCCGAGAGAATACTATTAATACACCGTACTATGCAAGGTCAGTACCATTTTGTAACAGAAAAAAAAATAACAAATTGGAATCATTGGGGCACGATTCATATGTGTATCAGATAGTATAACATAATCAAATATAAAAAGAATGGAATAATTTTGTTAGAGCTATAACAGCATCTATACATGACCAAGCACTTATTTATTTGAATGCTACATAGTAATAAATGAGTAATAAAAGTATAGAACATCGCAGAAAATGCTTGTAAAATAAAGATCTAGACTGAAACTCATTTTACCTTTGTTCACACTTCTTTTGTTAGTTTAATATTATATTACAATCGGTCTTAGTAGTAAGCTCGATGTGTGACAAGTACGTTTGACCTTCAAGTGTTTATTTGTAGAGAGTAAGAACTATTAATCTTATTTTTTTTGCTTCACTAATCACGAATTAATGTGTGCTAGAATAGAACAGTTTAATCAGTTAACGTATTATCTAAACAAAGTACTATTATTCTATCAATCGAGCTTTTATATTTAAAACTATTCCTGTTTTTTTTCTTGTTTGTGTTTATCCCTAGGTGTTTGAACAAGTCGATCGAATATGTGCGTATATATAAAGTTTTTTCTATATCGTGCTTGACAAAGCGAGAAGAATGAAGAAAAACAACAAATTACACAAGAATGAAGCATGTTCCTTTTTTTTCCTTCTTCCGTTCTGCTGATAGCTGCATTCCATTACAATTCTTTTTCTTTTTTCTTTTTTGTATGTGTCTCTGTTTGTCTCTAAAACTTAGTGATTACATATCCTTGGATAGTTCAGTGAGTTTTTGCAAAGTAATAACAAAAAGCAAAAATTCAATAAATCATGTTATTAATTCTCTAAATAAAAATATATATATATATATATGAGTTTTATTTGAAAAAAAACCGTTTTAATTTGTTTTCATAACAGTTTTAATATTCAAAATATTTGATGACATTGAGAAAAGTATAACATATTTACTTGGCTTTCAAAAGTTACACTACACTAATATTCTTTCTTTATTTTCTTTTTTCTTATTTCTTTTAAAACTTTTAAGTAAATTCTTCATTGAAGCGAGTAAATAAATAATTATTTTAGTTTCTATTATTTCCTTTTTTTCAGTATAGAAAAGAAAATGCAAGTCACGTATAGAGGAACCTACATAACCACGTCATATTTCTTGATGAGTTCTTTTTTTTTACTAGTTAATAATATCATTATTTTCTTTTGTATGTATGCATAATCCTTTTCATGCTCACTATGGTACATTAGTCTTTTAAAAATGCCAAAGTAATCGTATATAGCTGTTTTCTTGTTTTACACTTGATTTCATTTAATAGAACATCAATTAACTTGATTATTAGATTTATCGTAAAGATTATTGCTCTTCATTGTTACATAGTTATTTTTAACTTTTTCAAACAAATGTATTGTTTGTTCGTAAATAAGTAGAGTTTTGTTTTTTTAAGACAAACTTTAAATATAACTATTATCTTAGATAATTAAAAATTACATTTGCTCGAATAGTTGGCTAAGATGAATAAATATTTCAAAAGGTACACATGGAACAAATTAAAACCTTGTGTTGTATATCATTATCTAAGAAGAAAAAAAGAAAAAGATTAATTTATCAACAAAAGAAAAAGAAACGTTTTCTTTTCTCAGACAAATACTATTAGTAATCGTAGACGCCTGGCGATCTTCCGCTAAACCTGTAGTGCATACTAATTTATCATTTGTCAAAATAGTATATTATATAATGATATGTGATGAGAAATCATGTTCTTCTTTTCTCTTTTTTTCTTGTTGACTAAGTAAGTATAGAGTATGATTGTTAATTCATCTTAGAAACAAATGTAAATCTATTTGTTTCCTTAAACTAATGATATGCTATATTACAATTGATAATTCTATTATATTTTAGATCATTACAAAACATCACGGATGTCTAATGTAAATAGTTCTCAAAATGAGATTATTAATAATACTATTAGTAATGGAACAACCGTTGGCATGGGTCGATCAGTTAGTAGTGCTCGTTTCCAAATAGCTAAAGTATCTAATAATGATACAAATACAGAAAGTTCATTGGATAAAACAATTAGTATTCCACATAGTATGTTAACAGTAAAATTAAAAAAAAAAAGAAGTTATGATAAGATAATAATATTTATCCTTTCTTTTTTTTTATTTCTATTTAAATCAGGTTTATCATCAATTGTTCAACGTCCATCAATTCCCAATGTTAACAAAGTAAAAATTTTAATTGGAGATGATGACAGTGAATATAGTAGTATGGCATCTGGTTTCGGACGAACAATAGATATCAATGCTAATTGTACATCAATAGATGATAAAAATAATGAAATATGTTCATATGATACAATTGATACATTACCACATATAGATCATTATAGAAATTTATTTTCAATAACATCGCCTGAATCTAGAATACGGCCAACACTTGAAGAATTACATGAAACAAATAGTATAGTAACAAGACTTCGATTAGGATCAACAATTGATTTAAATAGTGATATGATAAATACATTTGCATTGCAAACCGAACAATTATCACAAATTGAAATAAAATCAAAAGTCGAAATTGTGAAATTTGGATGGATTATTGGTGTATTTGTATGTTAAAAATAGTTAATTAAAGAAAAACAACAAAAAAAAAAGAAAATTTTTTGTTTTTGTTTATATTAGATTCGATGTGTATTAAATATATTTGGTGTTATGCTTTTTCTTCGTTTATCATGGGTCACTGGTCAAGCTGGTATTGGTTTAGCAAGTGTAATTGTTATTATTTCAACAGCAGTAACTGTTTTAACAGGTTTATCAATGAGTGCTATTTGTACTAATGGAGAAGTTAAAGGTGGTGGAACATATTATTTAATATCACGTAGTCTCGGTCCAGAATTTGGTGGTGCTATTGGTTTAATATTTTCATTTGCTAGTAAGAATTATTTATGAATAAATATAATTAATAAGATTTCGAATAGATGCAGTTGCAGCTGCAATGTATACAATTGGTTTTGCTGAA